ACCAGTCCAGTTTTTTCTGTACCTCACACCCTTTTTCTGTACTACACTTTCCTATTTCTGTCCATAAATCTTCTTCCACTACCTGGCTGTGCTGGAGCCTGAGTCTACTCTGGCTCAGGAGGCTGCCTAATTCACAAAACATTCATTGCTCGATTAAACCCCTTTAAATTTATTGCATCTTAAGTTTTTCTTTTAACATTATTTATGCATGTTTGTGCTCCCCTGTATTTGAAAGTAAATCACTAGATCCTTTTAAAAATATTTTCTTGATTTCTCTTACATTTTTTATATTGCAATTCAGATTATGAAACTGATTTCACATTTACCTCATTTTAGCTAACAGTAATAGTATACTATTAGGAAATTATAACTATTTCTACATCATACATAATGAAATATGCTCCATGAAGTAAAATGGTTTGCCAAGTAAGTACATCAGAATAAGAGATCTAAAATACTCATTTTCTGACCACAAATACAGTTTTCTTTGCAGGACGCAATATATCAACAGAACTTGTTCAACCCTGAAGAAATGTTTAAGGAAATCAACAGAAAATGGGAAGTTCTCAAGGAAGAATCTGCAGCAGTCTTTGCTAAGTGACAATATAAGAAATGAAGTCTTATGAAAAGGAGCACTGTGTTCTTTCTATAAGGTAATTGCTACTCTATGTTAGTTCAAAATGAGATAGATGTTTACTGAAAGCAAAAGTGAAGCACCTTCGTTTCTGCTATTGAAAAATAAAGATGCCTAATATGTTATCCTTCTGGCATCAAAACCCTATAATTGATTTATCAATTTACCAATAAACTTGGTGGCTGTGATGGTGTCACTCACAACAATCCCAGTTAGGTTTGCTCATGGAGTCATCTCAAGAAAGTGGCTACCAAAGGAAAAGCTCCACAGATGTCATTGTCTCTGTTCACGTCTCATGATCCGATTAGAAATCCTGTGCACTAATGCAACTCAGCTTACTCATCAACTCAATGGATGCCATGAGTTTGCCTCAAAAGGTTTCATTTTAGTAAAGTGTTAAAACTGTCCTCTTGAAGACAATATGCATTTCAAAGACCTCTTATTTTTTTCCCAAATAATGACATAATCAGTACTCTCGTAGATTCCCCAAAAACTCTTAGTAAGGCAGATTGTTATATTTTGAGAAGCATTCCCATGCTGAATTTTCCCCCAAATCATAAGTCCCTTCTAAAATACACACTTCACCATAGTTGCATTTATTATCATTAAATCCTCAGTCTATGAATGGTGTAAATTTGAGTCAAATGGAAGAAAATAGGGACTGAAATCAAACTATTCCAGGTGTACATGAAGAGAGTGACTTTTTCGGTCTTCAATTTTGAAGGGAGTATCAGGGAGAGTAATTCTGATATGGAATTGAGTTAGGATATATTTCTTTCCTGGAAGAAATTCCTATGGAAGGTAGACAATTATCAGAATTATTCCCCACTCAGGTCAGATGGGTAATGTACGGTAATGTACGGGTAATGTTATGACGATGTCATAACAAGGTTCAGAGGGTGGCATATCTCACATGTGCTCATGAACACCCAATCATCATGCTCATGAACTACAAAAGGACCAAATTATCAGAATTTTAATGGACACAGGGACAGATGTTTATAGGACATTGAGATTCTCATAACAAGAGACATCCCTATTGGGAAGCAGGCCATAGATGTAGTAGATGGGGTCTTTGCTGAGGGACTGGGAAGTGAACATTGTGAATTGAAACAAGAAAAAGATTCCTTGTGCATTTGGTGGTACAATCTGGGGAATGACTGCACTGTGACTCATTCCTGTAATCCCAGCACTTTGGGAGGCCTAGATGGGTGGATCACTTGAGATCAGTAGTTCAATACCAGCCTGGCCAAAACGATGAAACCTTGTCTGTATGGAAAGTACAAAAATTAGCTGGGCATGATGATGGGTACCTGTAATCCCAGGTACTTGGGAGGCTGAGACAGGAGAATCACTTGAACCCAGGAGGCAGAGGTTGCAGTGAGCCGAGATCATGCCACTGCACTCCAGCCTAGGCAACAAGAGTGAGACTCCATCTCAATAAAAAAAAAAAAAGAAGAAGAAAGAAAGAAAGGAAAGGTAAAATGATCTGGGGCTAAGAACAAAACAAGACAAAACAGACAAACAGATGAAAACATACAAATTAAAAGAATTATAAAATTTAAGATGTTTAAACAAACTTTACAGAAAGTAGCTGTAAGCCCTTTACCTAAATGTCTTATGAAAATGGGTACTACATTTGACTGGGGAATGTTTCCCCTTTCTGGTATTATAAAACTGAAGGCATGTAAGTCTGCTCTTTTGGTAAATGTTAATTGAACACAGAAAAGGAGAACTAGTAAAATTGCCTGAGCAAACCAAGTATTGGGTGTAGTGGCAGTCAGGACAAATCTTCCACTTCATAGCTATTTGTGGCACATTTATTGGGGCTGATTGCAAAAAAAAACCTGCAAATAATTCCCAATGACAATAACTGAACTGAGAATTTCCACCTGAGAGGCATTTACTGCCTTGCTATGGAATTTTAACTGAAGCTATCCCTGTGCTAATAAAAATGATGGTGCCCAAAATAGTGCCATAAAAAATGATTGACATAGAATCTTGCTACCTGGGGTTATTAGGAGAAAATAGTAATAAGTAGGGAGCCTCTTTCCTAGATTCTATCATACCTGATAGACAGTTTTCATGAGCTGTTGGCTTGTAAATGGCATTTCCCAAATAAACAAACAAGTTGTTTGAAAGCTACTGCTATGGTTAAAGCATGGTCAAGAAAATCTTTTTCTTTTGAGTTATTTAGGTGAAGTGCGTTTTTGTAAGGAAATTTGCTTTTCTCTTTGAGTCCTAAAATTTGGATTGTGATTTTATGACAAAATAGTTATTTGCATAAATTCAAAAAATGTCTTTTAAAACAAAATAATTTGAGACACTGATCATTTTAACAATACTTTAACTAAAATAGCATATTTTTAGGTAAATTTCTGGCATGGTCAACTTCAAGAATCCTATATGGCCAATCAATTCTTGCTGCATTATTTATTTATTTATTTGGAGATAAAGTCTCGCTCTGTCACCCAGGCTGGAGTGCAATGGTACAGTCTTGACTCACTACAACCTCCGCCTCTTGGGTTCAAGCAATTCTGCTGCCTCAGCCTCCCAAGTAGCTGGGACTTATAGGTGTGTGCCACCACACCTGGCCAATTTTTGTATTTTTAGTAGAGACGGGATTTCACCATATTAGCCAGGCTGGTCTTGAACTCCTGACTTCAGACAATCAGGCTGCATTTTATGCAAAATAACCAGGCCAAGTATAATAAGTCTAAAACTTATTTTGCACACAAATTGGTCTTGTTATAATTTCTCTTTAATAAAAAAGAGGGGGGTCTAAAGAAATTGCTTCCAAGGAAAACATTTAATACTAGATTTCAGCCCTAACTTTTTTTTTTTTTTTTTTTTTTTTGAGTGCAGACTGGATCATTGTTTCTTGGCTACAATAATCCACTAGAGAGTACCAGATTATAATTTTTCTTTATATTTTTAGTCGGTACCCTAATGGAATATGTTTCTTTTTCTGTTCTGACACACACATTACTATTTTAATTGTCAAACTACAAATGTTATTTATCTCTTCTTGTTTTACTTCCAAGAAAGCCCAAATCATGGTATTTTGAAGACCAGAGATGTGAATCTCCCTCATCTTGACATCCCACTGAGGCGGAATCTGTATTTCACTGTGAATGCACTGCAGCAAAAACTATACAAGCAACCTTCCCTCTTGGCCCAGCTACTGTAACAGAAGAGGGAGGGCATAAGATTGTAAGGGCTGATTTTGAGGGATAAGATTCATTCAAGGTCAAACCCTCCAAATCAAGGAGGGATACAAAAATGCCTGAACAGCTGGTAAAACAAGTTTAGTTGCCTTCCCAACTTGTCGCTTTCTGTCTACCCAAACTATAAAAAGTTTTTGCTTACTATAGAATTACAGAAAAATATTTGCTAACTGGATAAATAATACTTTGTAAGTTTTCATTGTAGTTCTGAGGTTTTTAGTGAGTTTCTTAATTCTGAGTTCTAATTTGATTGCACTGTGATCTAAGAGACTGTCTGTTAGGATTTGCATTCTTTTGCATTTGCTGAGAAGTGTTTTATTTCCAATTATGTGGTCAATTTTAGAATAAGTGAGATGTGGTGCTGAGCAGAATGTATATTCTGCTGATCATGGGATGGGGAGTTCTGCAGATGTCTATTAGGTCCAGTTGGTCCAGAGTTATCCCGTTACTGAATATATGCACATAGGATTATAAATCATTCTACTGTAAAGACACGTGCACACGCTTATTGCAGAACTATTCACAATAGCAAAGACCTGGAACTAACCCAAACGCCCATCCATCATAGACTGTATAAATAAAATGTGGCACATATACACCATGGAATATATGCAGCCATAAAAAAGGATGAATTTATGTTCTTTGCAGGGATATGGATGAAGCTGGAAACCATCATTCTCAGCAAATTAACATAGGTACAGAAAACCAAACACTGCATGTTTCACTCATAAGTGGGAGTTGAACAATGAGAACACATGGACACAGGGAGGGGAGCATCACACACTAGGGCCTGTTGAGGGTTGAGGGTCTAAGGGAGGAATATCATAAGGAGAAATGTAGATGATTGGTTGAATGGGTACAGCAAACCACCATGGCACATGTACACATATGTAACAAATCTGCACATTCTTCACATGTATCCCAGAACTTCAAGTATAATAATAATAACTAATAATAATAAAGCTTGTAACAAAGCCTCCTGGGTATAACACTCCCAGTTGTGAGTTATGAAGATAAAGATATATATGCATTTAATTTTTTTCAGAACAATGCTTATGTTTGCGTAACTAATTGCTGTATGTCTGTAACAAAAACCAAGTTTATAGTAGCTAAACACACAAGTTAAAAATAAGTCAGTCTTATAACTTTGCCTTTCCATTTTTGTTTATTGACTTTTACACAAAATAATAATTTTAAGAGGTAATAAATGCTTGTTCACATCCATTCTTATCTGGTCTAAAACAATCAATTGGCTATAAGTCATTTGACTCATAAGGCCTTCAGCCACAGAGAGTCCCGTGGAAGTACAGGATGGATCTGGGGCAGGCAGCCATGGCACCCTGGCAATGCTATGGGAAAAAATAAAAATTTGCTGGTCTTTGATGTTGCCTCTGACAAATCTTGACCAGAAGGGGAAGAATGTAAATAAAAAATACAATTCTAAGCAGTCCCCCTCCAACCATCTGAATGGACTTCCTCTTCAACCAGGACTCTTTTAAAATTCACCTGAAAGACTAGATCAGGCCATGATGGGAAGTGGGAGGTCGGACATGCTTCATTATACCTCTCCAGTGTTAACATTCACAATCTACTCTATCTGAAGCCTTCTACCTGCATGATGAAATCCCAGGTCTTTAGACAAACTCAACCAATTGTTAACCAGAAAGTGTTTAAATTTACCTATAGCCTGGAACGCTCTGACCCCCTGCCACCAACTGCACTTCTTAATTTTTTATTTCATTTTATTTATTATTTTTGATTTTTAGAGATGGGGTTCCACGTCTGAAACTCCTGACCTCTTGTGATCTGCCCTCCTCAGCCTCCCAAAGTGCTGGGATTACAGGGGTGAGCCACTGCGCCCAGCCTGCACTCCTTCAATGTATTTAATTGATGGTTCATGCCTCCCTGAAATGTATAAAACCAAGCTGCACTGGATTGGCCACCTTCTCACATATCATTCTTGTTTTATAAGTGCAGAAATGATACTGAACATATAGTCCATTTAAATATCCACAATACATGTTCGTTAAGTCAGATGCATTTCTTATAACCCTGAAAGAGAAAGTAAAGAATTACACTTGGCAAATCAGATATTTGAAACATATTCACAGAAAAAACATTACATTTCCAATTTTTGATACTCTGAACATTAAATTAGATTTAGTTTAAATAATTGCCTTAGACCCTGCATTGTTTAAACTAAATCTAATTTAATGTTGAGTATCAAAAATGTCCAAGTTAATTCTTTATATTGACACACATGAAATGTCAATTACTGCTTCATTTCCCCCTGCTTTTTCCACTTTCTAGCATCTGATATTTGCTGTCCTTTACTTACAGACTTAGCACCCCACCCCCTTCATATATAATATAATTTGGAATAATGCCATTTCCGAAGATTCTCTAGTCTAACTGACCCAGTAGTAAGTCTTGGACCCTGTCTTCCTCAAGTGCTTTTCATAATCATCAAAGTCCAGGAATTCACCTAGGGTATGATGCCTTAAGTTCAACATCATCTCCAAGTGACGCTTTCGTAAGATTATACTCTGAAGTTCTAATACCAGCCCATCAATACTAGATTAATGATCAGGGATTATGCGTTAAAAACAAATTTGCAAATTAAAAATATTATCTTTTAGATTAACTTAGTATCCACACTTGGGTAAAAAGATAATGATATCAACCAGTAAATAATTTCATCAATTAAATTTTTAAGAATGAGATTTATTTGTGTTGACATGGTACAGATGTTAATTATTACTGCCCCCTTTCAGAAACAAACCCCAAAATAACACAGTTTAAAAAATGAAAATAAAATATTTATGTACATACATATCATGCATACAATTATTATAGAATTTTTTCAGTTTCCCTTTTGATAACTGAAAATATCTACTGTTTTCCATTCCATTATAGATTACGATTGCATTTTCAATGATTACAAACACATACATATTCTATATTTTCAAAACAAGATTCCATCTGTACTCTCTCCTGACACACACGTTACCTTTGTCTCTAGTCCTTCACTCCAAAGGAGACCTTTAAAACATATGTCCTTCTCCCCTCCATTTGGAGCTTGCTTATCTCTCTTCTACCCTATCATTGACAACCACCAGGGGTGGGGCCACCTTGTCTTTCTGACCCACACGCCTACACTTACTATTTCTATCTGAAGGAAAAAGCAAACAAACAAACAAAAAATTCTGTTTGCCATTATGGCCCAATGTGATGAGTATGCAGGGATCACAGTACCTAAACTCAGTGTGGGGCACCTCTACACAGTTGACTCAGAGCTATCTCCTGCTAAAAATATACACTAAAAAACACTTGTTAAATGATGAACTTCCGGCCGGGTGTGGTGGCTCATGACTGTAATCCCAGCTACTCAGGAGGCTTAGACAGGAGAATCAATTGAACCTGGGAGGCAGAGGTTTCAGTGAGCCAAAATTCACCATGTTGGTCAGGCTGGTCTCGAACTCATGAACTCGTGATTTGCCCTCCTTGGCCTCCCAAAATACTGGGATTACAGAGGTGAGCCACTATTTTTATGTAAAGACTTATTTTTTTCTCATTATAAGCAGAACAAATACAACACATAAACCCACTTAAAATAGCATATAACCACATTCCTCATTATTCTACACAAATTATTTTATCTCTACTATATATGTAATGTATCATGCTAAGGTTTATTCTTTGACCTGAAATGCTCTTCTAAACCAGTCTTTAAATTTTTTATTCAAAAATATCCATTTCAGAATATAAGTTAGTGCTGTAGCAATTTCTCAAAGAACTAAAAATGGAATTCCATTTGATCCAGCAATTCCACTCTTGGGTATTTACCCAAAGGACAACAAATTATTATATTAAGAAAAAGACACCTACACTCCTATGTTTATTGTACCACTATTCACAATAGCAAAGTCATAAAAAAATGACCTAAGTTTCCATCAACGGATTATGTTTTCTTTCAGGGTATATACACCATGGAGAGTATTCTCTTAAGCGAAATAACTCAGAGACATAAATTTAAATACTGCATGTTCTCATTTAAGTGGGAGCTAAATAATATGTACATACAGACATAAAAAGTGGAATAATGGACATTGGAGACTCCACAAATAGGAGGGTGGGAGGAAAATAAAAAAGGAGAAATTACCTACATGGTAAAGTGTACACTCTCCAGGTAATGGTTACACTGAAAACACAGACTTCATCACTATGGAATATATTTATATAACAAAACTGCACTCGTACCCCCTTATTCCAGAAACTTTCTTTTAAGGCATTTCAAGTGTCATTTATAACAAAAGCAGCAGGGCCGGGTGCGGTGGCTCAAGCCTGTAATCCCAGCACTCTGGGAGGCCGAAGCGGGTGGATCACGAGGTCAAGAGATTGAGACCATCCTGGTCACCATGGTGAAACCCCGTCTCTACTAAAAATACAAAAAGTTAGCTGGGCATGGTGGTGCGTGCCTGTAATCCCAGCTACTCAGGAGGCTGAGGCAGGAGAATTGCCTGAAGCCAGGAGGCAGAGGTTGCAATGAGTCGAGATCGCACCATTGCATTCCAGCCTGGGTAACAAGAGAGGCACTCCGTCTCAAAAAAAAAAAAAAAAAAAAAGCAGCATTGCTAAAATTTATGATTGGTTAGTCTGTGTATTCTTACTGAAGCATTATCACGCCATATTCTCTTTATCTCTAGCATCATTCAATCAGTCTGCACATACAATCAATGGTTAAGTAACTTTAGTGATGAATCAGTCTTTCACTCATCTTTGAACCCCAGTACTTAGCACAATATTAAGTATTTGTTAGAGTCCATTGACTTTTCTGGGCTTCCATAATTTTTCTTAAACTTGCTATTTTCAGTAGTCTCCATAATTTGACTACTGTAATTTTGTTAGTGGCTTGTCAAAGTTACCAGAAGACATTTATGGTAACTTTCTATATTAGAAAATCATTGAAAAAACATGAGAGAAAATGGTTCTTTTAGGATGCAATTTCTACTGAAGCTAGTTTTAATTTGAATCTACAGTGCTCCTAAGGAAAATACCTCTACTCAAACCCAACTATAAAATTTTAACAAGAATAGACACTTACCAGTCAGAGGAGTTGATTATATCATCAATGCTCTTACCACTAGTGTAATAACTTTGGGGAGATAATCCCAGCCAATATTGATATAATTTATTTTGGGATTTTATAAATTCCTACAGGAAATACAAATGGTCTATTTAAGAAACAGTTTCTTACTTTTGTATTTTACATTATAACGTAATTTCTTACAAATTGCTGTTTTAAGGTAACATACTTGACATTGCACTACTGCTATTAAATGCCATTAAAAGAAATTGAAAGAAAGTACTCCTTACTATAAACTTTCAACATTTTAAAAAATAATATCATTGCTGGTCTCACAAGAAGAGAGGCCCTACTAATCCACATATAACCTTCATTTACAGTCATTGAAAAGTTCACAATGACAAGTTCAGGATTCAAAAATTTGAGCTGTAAACATTGTGTCCAAAGAGATGGCTAATGGCTACCAAAAAGAGTTAATAGAAACAGAAAGAGTAGGAAAAAATGCCACAGATGTGAGTGGTTATAAAACAAAATTCAAAACCGGTTCAGAATTTTGTAGCCAAATAACAGGTATTTTTTCTTATTCCACACTTTTAAAAGACCTTTTTTAGAGTAAGCAACTGTGAATGGGTCACTTGAGAATAATCTGATGAGGAAGAGATTATGGATTAATTTCTCTCTCTTCTAAAGTATAACAGAAGTTTCTTATTGTGGGGAAGCAGAGACTTTTAGAAAATGTAATTTTGATTAAAAATATATGATTATTATTTGAGAGACCAAATATGCTATATAAAATAAGTGTAACATGGAAACACTAGACAAGAAAAATTAAGAAACTGAATAAATCAATAAAGCTACTAGAAAACACATTTTTCCTGAGACTCAAGGACTCAGTGCAAGACATATGTTTGACACTTGGCTGTGTCACTTTCCTTCAGCTCTTCTTGTTTACACATATTTTATGCTAGCCTACTATAACTTGCCTATTTCTCTTAGTGAATTTAAAAATACAAAATGGTAGAAACAAAACAAATCCTCCAATGTCATTTTTATGGAATTAGTAACCCTCAGGAATAATCTCTGTATCTTGTTTTTAATGCTTATAAATTATGTTCTGAGATTTGATTCCAGATTCTAATTTGGAAATACATACAGACCTATAAATTCTGGCTGCCCAGTATCTACTCATCCACCTGTCAGCTAGCAATATTCCTCTTATGCTAAGGTCCTAAGCTAAGGTTTTATACGTTTTACCTTGCCTGTGATATCTTGAGATAAATGTACAAAGTTCCAGTCACTTCTCACCCCAACTAAAATAAACCAGAATCATGAGTTGGTTGATTGAGGTCTCCTCTAACATGCCACAGCCCTCTCTGTCCCATGATGGTAGAAACACCTGGGCTTTACCAATGCACTTTTATTGTTAATCTTCAGCAGGCTGGCATTCTGATCAGCACAGGCCGTTTTACTCTCCTGCCATGTTTGGTAATTATCACTTAGGAAATAACAGCTGTCCTCATGCCACATCCATCCCTTTGGACAAGGCTTACATTTGTGCTCTGAAAGAAGAACATAGTTTTATTTGGGTTTTACTAATAGTCTTAATAATTCTTATTATTTCCTTTCCTCTCTAAGTGACATTCTCCACATTTGCTGTTTATTATTCTTTCTTTCTTTCTTTTTGAGACAGGATCTTGCTCTGTTCCCCAAGCCAGAGTGGAGCAGCACGATCTCAGCTCACTGCAGCCTCCATCTCCTGGATTCAAGCGACTCTCCCCTTGGCCACCCAAGTAGCTGGGATTACACGGTGTTTCTTCTTTTTACATCAAGGGGGAAGTACGTGAATCCTGTATTCTAGTTCCCTGTATACCATCATAATATGTCAGACACATAACTTGAACAAAAAAATTCCAAATTAAGCACTGGGATTCAAGTGTATCTTCCTATATCAATCCCTCTTTGCTATTTTTTGTATTCTTTAATGACAACAAACACAAATTACAGGACACATTCTGTATAGTAAGAATTAACCACACCTATCTATACTAATCTTACCTTCTTTAATTTCTGTTCTCTGACTCAGTGAAACTTTGAGGTTTCTCGGGAGCAAAAGAAATACGTTTTAGCAACCATGACTATAGAAATGTATGGAGATATTATAAGACCAACTTCTCCTGATCCCGAAGGTGACATCTCAATTTATTTTTTTCTTGTGGACTTTGTTATCAATCACTGACTGAAATTTAAGAATGAAGTCACCTATAAAGAGGTGTCACTTCCTCCCTATCTTTTATTAACCTTATTGCCCAGAATAATTATCGTGACAGATTAGAGAAACTGTTCTAACATTTTATCATGTAACTGTTATCTCCTGATAATTTGGGGCCCTATTGTTATTATTACTCTTTCTGTCTTTCTTCTAAAGGAAATGAATTCTCTATCAACCACATGTAATTCCTTCCCCCAAATTATGACTCCCTAGGAAAAGGCTGCTAATTATAAAATGATTCTTAAGAGACTCAGTGATTTAGTTTATTGTCCAGTAAATAACACCAAGAGAATACAGGATTACCTTTTTTTTCTCTGTATAGCTCACGACATAATTTGGTGGCTGTTGTTTGCAGTGTGGTGGAGAGGTTCCTGATCTTGTTGGAGCTATTCATGTTACTCATCAGTTGTAGAGACACATTTCTCTGAAGCTCTTCATTGATATTTTTTAGTTCATTCACTTTTTCCATTTCTATCTTCAAAGTTATGTAAACTTCACATTAAAAATGACAAAAATTTGTAAACTCTCAATAGAACCATCATCCTTTATCACTTGCAGAAGTAGTACAAAGATTAAAGGGGTAGGGAAAGCCATTACTCTACAGGAGTGAAGGAAAGACATTATGTTCCACATTGTAAGTCCTCCTTGTGGCCACATCACCTATCATTATCACAAATCTTCCACTCAAAGAATAAACTTTTGTTGTTAAATCTTTGAAATTCTAGATACTTTCGCTTTTAACTGAAATAGAGCTAATACATACATATGCTTCCCAAGACTCCCAATCCAATGAGCAGGAGAAGGCACAGAAGAGTCAGAAACAAGGCTGCTGGACGCCATACACGAGAGGGAGCGGGAGGTGCTGTGGAAAGGAAAATTAACAGGGAGGTCTAAACCTGATATACACTTTCATTTGAATTATTTACTCATTCATTCATTCATTCATTTTACTTTTATTTCCTAATATGCCTATTAGAAAAGAATGGATTTGTTATTCAACGATATTTTAAAAATATTTTGAAGAACATGTCAAGAAAAAGTCAAAATCACTGATGTGTTTTGTATGTAAATTGATTCTGGCATGAGAAGCTGTTAACTGGTAGACTGATTCAAAAAACAGAGAAGCAAAACCAGAATTTATAATAGAGAATGGAGAACACCAGTCAATCTAGATATAGTATACTTTGTTTGTACAAATTGGGGAAAAGCGAGTAACTGGAAATTAACAGAGAAGCCAATATGAGTAGTTATTGCTTGAGCAGACAATTGTGGCATGTCAGGAAAAACAATTTCAGTTGTTCACATATCCCTCAGGTAATTCTGAGAGTTTAGCTTCAGAATAAACAAGATAGGCTGTCTCTTTGTAATGTATTTGGGACAGGATCTTGCTCTATCACCCAGAATGGAACATAGTGGCCTGATCATAGCTCACTGCAGCCTCCAACTCCTGGGCTCAAGTAATCCTCCTTCCTCACCCTCCCAAGCAGCTAAGACTATTGGTGCCCAGTTAATTTTTTAAAAAATTTTTGGACATAGGCACAGGCAAGGACTTCATGGCTAAAACACCAAAAGCATTGGCAACGAAAGCCAAAATAGACAAATTGGATCTAATTAAACTCCAGAGCTTCTGTACGGCAAAAGAAACAATCAGTAGAGTGAACCAGCAACTAACAGAATGGGAAAAATTTTTTGCAATCTACCCATCTGACAAAGGACTAATATCCAGAATCTACAAAGAACTAAAACAGATTTACAAAAAAAAACCACAACCACAACAACAAAAAAAAACATTCAAAAGTGGGTGAAGGATACGAAAGACATTTTTCAAAAGAAGACATACATGAGGCCATATGAACAAATGCTCATCATCACTGGTCGTTAGAGAAATGCAAATCAAAACCACATTGAGATAGCATCTCACACCAGTTAGAAGGGCTATCATTAAAAAATCTGGAGACAATAGATGCTGGAGAGGATGTGGAGAAATAGGAACACTTCTACACTGTTGGTAAGAGTGTAAATTAGTTCAACCATTATGAAAGACAGTGTGGCGATTCCTCAAGGACCTAGAAATAGAAATTCCATTTGACCCAGCAATCCCATTACTGGGTATATATCCAAAGGATTATAAATAATTCTATTATAAAGACGAATGTTCATTGCAGCACTGTTTGCAATAGCAAAGACCTAGAACAAACCCAAATGCCCAGTGATGATAGACTGGACAAGGAAAATGAGACACATACACACCATGGAATACTATGCTGCCATAAAAATGATGAGTTCAAGGATCCCAAGATGGCTGAATAAAAGGCAGCTCCAGAAAGCAGCTCCCAGAGAGAGAAACTCAGAAGCTGAGTGGTCTTCACAATTCCAAACGAGGTAGGTTCATTTTGTGTGTCTGGTTGGACAGTGCATATAAACCAAATAGGGCAAGTTGCTGCAATGTGGAGCATTGCCCTACCCAGAAGGAGTGTGCAACCGACTGGAGGACTGGGGGATCTCCCCCTCTGAGACTTTGATTCAGATACAGTGCTCCACTCAAGCCCTCTACAACCCACAGAACAAGAGATCTTCACCAGGCTGAAAAGCCCTAGCGAGCTGCCTGAACAGGGCAAACAGCAACTTTGGCCAGTGCCAGGGCTGTCAGCACAGATCTAGGTGGAAGCACTGGCTGAACCAAAAAGCCAAAAATCCGGTGGGACAGAGCTACCTGCACCCCAGTAAGAAGGGGAATGGAATGCAGGATAACAGCCCAAATGGCAGGATGGGTCCCCCTGCCCCAAAAGGCCCAGCAGGCCAAAACCTCTCACTCCAGAGTTAGGAACCCAGAACATCAGTTAGAGAGCAACCAGGACCGATCCAGCTCGGTGGGTGGAAGGGAAGCTGCCATTGCAGAAGCCCGCCTAATTTTCCTGCGTAAATAAAAGATGCAGCAGCTCCACTGAATCTGTGGCAGCCCAGCAGTGCCTCTGCAGGCAGACAAAGGAAAGGCAGCCTCCCCAAGCAGTTAACTGAGATCAAAACTATATAAATCCAAGAGATAGGGAGAAACCAGTGCAATAAGAATGAAATCATCAAAAACCAGAACATCTCTCCCTCACCACGAGATCACGACTCCTTACCAGCAAGGGAACGAAGCAGGATGGAGAAGGAATTTGATGAATGGACAGAAGCAGGCTTCAGAACGTTGGGTAATAACAAACTTCTTTGAGTTAAAGCAACATGTTCTATCCCAATGCAAAGAAACTAAAAACCTTGAGAAAAGGTTAGATGAAATGCTAGCTAGAATAACCAGCTTAGAGAAGCACATAAATGACTTGATGGAGCTGAAAAACACAGAGCGAGAACTTCATGAAGCATACACAAGTTTCAATAGCCAAATAGATCAAGCATAAGAAAGGATATCAGAGATTGAAGATCAACTCAACAAAATAAAATTAGAAGGCAAGAAAAGGAACAAAGAGTGAAAAGTAATGAACAAAGCCTTCAAGAAATATGAGAGTACGTGAAAAGACCTAATCTACACTTCATTTGTCTACCAGAAGATGATGGGGAGAATGAATCCAAGCTGGAAAACACTCTTCAGGGTATTATCCAGGAGAACTTCCCCAACCTAGCAAGGCAGGCCAACATTCAAATACAGAAAATACAGAGAACACTACAATGATATTCCTCTAGAAGAGCAACCCCAAGGCACATAATCGTCAGGTTCACCAGGGTTGAAATGAAGAAAAAATACTAAGGGCAGCCAGAGAGAAAGAATGGGTCACCCACAAAGGGAAGAACATCAGACTCACAGCAGATCTCTTGGCAGAAACCCTACAAACCAGATGAGATTGAGGGCCAATATTCAACATCCTAAAAGAAAAGAACTTTCAACCCAGAATTTCATATCCAGCCTAATTAGGCTTCATAAGTGAAGAAGAAATGAAATATTTTATGGACAAGCAATTGCTGAGAGATTTTGTCACTACCAGACCTGCCCTGCAAGAGCTCCTGAAGGAAGCACTAAACACAGAAAGGAAAAACCAGTACCAACCACTGCAAAAAAGAACCAAATGGTAAAGACCAATGATGCAATGAAGAAATTATGCCAAACAAAGGTCAAAACAACCAACTAGTAATAAAATGGAAGGATCAAATTCATACATAAAAATATTAACATAAAATGTAAATGGACTAAATGCCCCAATCAAAAGACACAGATTGGCAAATGGGATAAAAAGCCAAGAACCATCTGAGTGCTGTATTTAGGAGACCCATGTTATGTGCAAAGACACACATAGACTCAAAATAAAGGGATGGAAGAAGATTTACCAAGCAAAAGGAGACCAAAGAAAAGCAGGGGTGGTAACCCTAGTCTCTGATATAATGGACTTTAAACTAACAAAAATCAAAAGTGACAAAGAAGGGCATGACATAATGGTAAAATGATAAATAAAACAAGAAGAGCTAACGATCCTAAACATAGATGCACCCAATACAGGAGAACCTAGATACATAAAGCAAGTCCTTAATGACCTACAAAGAGACTTAAACTCCAGCACAATAATAGTGGGAGACTTGAACACTCCACTGTCAATATTAGATAGATCAATGAGACAGAAAATCAACAAAGAAATCTAGGACTTGAATGCAGATCTGGACCAAGCAAACTTAATAGACAGTTACAGAACTCTTAACCCCAAATCCACAGACTATACATTCTTTTCAACACCACATCACACTTACTCTAAAATCGACCGCATAACTGGAAGTATATCACTCCTCAGCAAATGCAAAAGAATGGAAATCGTAACATAAACTCTCTCAGACCACAGTGCAATCAAATGAGAACTCAGGATTAAGAAACTAACTCAAAACTGCACAACTTCATGGAAACTGAACAACTGGCTCCTGAATGGAGACTGGATAAACAATGAAATGAAGGTAGAAATAAAGATGTTCTTCAAAGCCAATGAGAATGAAGACACAAACACAATACACCAGAATATCTGAGAAACATTTAAAGCTGCATCTAGAGGAAAAATTATAGCAATAAATGCCCACATGAGAAGAAGGAAAGATCTAAAATGGACACCCTATTGCCAAAATAACAAGGAATAACTAAGATCAGAGCAGAACTGAAGGGATAGAGACACAAAAAAACCTTTCAAAAAATCAACAAATCCAGGAGCTGGTTTTTTGAAAAGATCAACAAACTAGATAGACCACTGGCCAGACTAATAAAAAAGAAAAGAGAGAAGAATCAAATAGATGCAATAAAAAACGATAATGGGGATATCACCACTGATTCCACAGAAATACAAACTACCACCAGAGATTACTACAAACAACTCTATGCATACAAACCAGTAAATCTGGAAGAAATGGATAAATTCCTGGAGATTTGCACTCTCCCAAGACTAAACCAGGAAGAAGTTGAATCCCTGAATAGACCAATAACAAGGGCTGAAGTTGAGGCAGCAATTAATAGCCTACCAACTAAAAAAAGCCTGGGCCCAGACGGGTTTACAGCCGAATTCTACCAGACATACAAAGAGGAGCTGGTACCATTCCTTCTGAAACTATTACAAGCAATAAAAAAAGAAGGAATACTCTCCAACTCATTTTATGAGACCAACATTATCCTAATACCAAACTGGGCAGTGACACAACTACAAAAGAAAACTTCAGGCCAATATCCATGATGAACATCAACAAAAAAATCTTCAATAAAATACTGGCAAACAGAATGCAACAGCAAATCAAAAAGCTTATTCATCATGATCAAGTAGGCTTCATCCCAGGGATGCAAGGTTGGTTCAACATACACAAGTCTAGAAATGTAATCCATCACATAAATAGAACCAAAGACAAAAACCACATGATTATCTCAATAGATGCAGAAAATAACTTCGACAAAATTCAACAGCCGTTTATGCTAAAAACTCTCAATAAACTAGGTATTGATGGTACAAATCACAAAATAATAAAGGCGATTTACAACAAACCCACAGCCAATATCATACTGAATAGGCAAAAACTGGAAGCATTCCCTTTGAAACCTGGCACAAGACAAGGATGCCCTCTCTCATCACTCTATTCAAAATAGTATTGGAAGTTCTAGTCAGAGCAAGCAGACCAGAAAAAGAAAGTGTATTCAACTAGGAAAAGAGCAAGCCAAATTGTCTCTATTTGCAGACGATATGATTGTATATATATATATAAGACCCCATCATTTCAGCCCAAAATCTCCTGAAACTGATAAGCAACTTCAGCAAAGTCTCAGGATACAAAATCAATGTACAGAAATCACAAGCATTTCTATATACCAATAACAAACAGAGAGCCAAATCAAAAGTGAACTCCCATTCACAATTGCTATAAAGAGAATAAAATACCTAGGAATACAACTAACAAAGGTTGTAAATGACTTCTTCAAGGAGAACTACAAACCACTGCTCAATGAAATAAGAGAGGACACAAACAGATGGAAAAATACCCAATGCTCATGGGTAGGAAGAATCAACATCGTGAAAATGGCCATATTGCCCAAAGCAATTTATAGGTTCAATGCTATCTCCATAAAGCTACTTATGGCCTTCTTCACAGAACTGGAAAAAACCACTTCAAACTTCATATGGAACCAAAACAGAGCCCGCATAGCCAAAACAATCCTAAGCAAAAAGAACAAAGCTGGAGGCATCATGCTGCCTGACTTCAAACTATATTACAAGGCCACAGTAATCAAAACAGCATGGTACTGTTACCAAAACAGAGATATAGACCAATGGAACAGAACAGAGGTCTCAGAAGCAACACCACACATCTACAATCATCTGATTTTTGACAAACCTGAGAAAAACAAGCAATGGAAAAATGATTCTCTATTTAATAAATGCTGTTGGGAAAACTGGCTAGCCATGTGCAGAAAGCAGAAACTGGACCCTTTCCTGACACCTTACACTAAAATTAACTCCAGATGGATTAACGATCTAAACATAAGACCTAACACCATAAAAACCCTAGAAGAAAACCTATGCAAAACCATTTAGGACATAGGCATAGGCAAAACACCAAAAGCAATGGCAACAAAAGCCAAAATAGACAAATTGGATCTAATTAAACTCCAGAGCTTCTGTACAGCAAAACAAATAATCATTACAGTGAATCAGGCACCAACAGAATGGGAAAAATTTTTGCAATCTTCCATCTGACAAAGGACTAATATCAAGAATCTACAAAGAACTAAAACAGATTTATAAGAAAAAAAACAAACCCGTTCAAAAGTGGACAAAGAATATGAACACACACTTTACAAAAGAAGACATTGATGAGGCCAACAAATATATGAAAAAATGCTCATCATCACTGGTCATTAGAGAAATGCAAATCAAAACCACATTGAGATACCGTTTCACGCCAGTTAGAATGGTGATCATTAAAAAATCTGGAGACAACAGATGCTGGAGAGGATGTGGAGAAATAAGAACACTTTTACACTGTTGGTGGGAGTGTAAATTAGTTCAACCATTGTGGAACACAGTGTGGCGATTCCTCAAGGACCTAGACATAGAAATTCCATTTGACCCAGTAATTCCATTACTGGGTATATATCCAAAGGATTATGAATCATTCTATTATAAAGATGTATGTTCATTGCAGCACTGTTTACAATAGCAAAGACCTGGAACCAACCCAAATGCCCATAATGAATAGACTGGATAAAGAAAATGTGGCACATATACACTGGGGAATACTACACATCCATAAAAAATGATGAATTTGTGACCTTCATAGGGACATGGATGAATCTGGAAACCATCATTCTCAGCAAACTGACACAAGAACAGAAAACCAAACACTGCATGTTATCACTCATAGGCAGGTGTTGAACAATTAGAACACATGGACATGGGGAGGGGAGCTTCACACACGGCAGTCAGTTGGGGGACTAGAGGAGGGACAGTGGGGGATGGATAATGAGGGGAGAAGTACCAGATGTAGGTGATGGGGGAAGGCCTTGCCATATATGTACCTATGCAACAATCCTGCATTATTTGCATATGCACCCCAGAACCTAAAGTACAAAAAAAAAAAACGATGAGTTTGTGTCCTTTGTAGGGACATGGATGAATCTGGAAACCATCATTCTCAGCAAACTGACACAAGAACAGAAAACCAAACACTGCAAGTTCTCACGTGTAGGCGGATGTTGAACAGTGAGAACACATGGACACAGGGAGGGGAGCATCACACACTGTGGTCTTTTGGGGAGTCTAAGGGAGGGATGTGGGGAGTGGGGAGATTGCAGAGGGATAACACAGAGAGAAATGCCAGATATAGGTGATGGGGGATGGAGGCAACAAACTACCTTGCCATGTGTGTACCTATGCAACAATCCTACATGATCTGCACATGCACCCCAGAACCTAAAGTACAATTAAAAAACAAAAACAAAACAAAACAAAATTATAAAGGCCTAAAATTAGGAAGGATATTGTTTAACCACAGATTAAAAGGAGATTTAATGAGAATATAGAAGACAGTATTCTCTTAGTTTTTGTTTTTGTTTTTCTGAAATGATGTTGATGCATCCTAAGGGATGATCTATACCAGAATGGTATGCAAATAAAATATTGGGATACCTAAGGAAAAAAAAATCTCTTTTTATAGAAATCGCATCTCTCTACTTTGCCCAGGCTGGTCTCAAACTCCTGGCCTCAAATAATCCTCTCATCTTGGCCTCTCAAATTGCTAGGACTATGGGTTGAGCCACTGCACCTAGCCAGAACTAGGGTTTTTAGTGAAAATAAAAAGTACATTGGAGAGCGGAAGTGTAAGAGACTAAGGGTGGATGTTACATAATACAATGTTAAATTGTGTACATAGTTTCTAAGCTGGTTAATGAGAAAATTACATGAAGTTAAGAACATGAAGAAGACATGGATTCAATATCTCCATGAATTAAAGGAATTCTTGTGATGGGAACTTAAAATAATTTGGATTGGCAGGAAAGGTGGAGAGAAAGGGTGTGAGAGGGCAGTTACAGGGCAATTGTTGGTACTATGAAGCTCATGATATGGCCATCCTCTTTCAGCATATGAAAGAAGAAATACAAACAAGGAACTAAAGACAGAAAATGGAGTAAAATTCTTAGACCCTTCTTTCTAAAAAAGTTTCAGTGTTAAAAAAGCCCACAAAATTAATCTGCTAGCCTTTCTCAAGATTTACCATGCTCATAATAAATGAATCCAAGATTTAACAATGAAATTTCTGTTTACAGCAATGCTAGAATGTTATAGATGTTGTATTCTGTGTGTTCTCCATTATCATTATTTAAGTTATTTTTAACTCAAACACACTGATTTTAACGATGGATTCACTAGGGCAGATTGCACCCCAAAAGCCAGGAGTCAGAAGGTAAGAACCATACATATAGTAAAACTACAGGATTCTGAGTAAGATGAAGAGTAGAGTTTTGTTGAAGTGAAAGATGAAAGTCAACACAGATGGTTCACTTATTTCATGATTTAAATTGAAAAATATAGTGTGGTTTTGAATATTATGAATATATTTTGTCTTCTGATATTTCTTTATCTCTTTTCCTCCTTTATTCCTTAATGAGTCACTTCATTTAACTTAACATCTTTTATTTTTTAGTAAGTTAGTAAAAAATCTCCAAAAGAAGTAGGAGAAATTTTAGCATGGTATGTGTCGAGTTTGGTAGATAGTCAAATGGAATCCTTAACAGGTCACTCTGGTACCTGTCTGTCTGTCTTTCCTTCTTTTTGACATACATATACAAAGCATTTTCTTAAAAAAAAGAAACACATAAGAAATCATGACTTTCCTGAACACATTCCTTGTTCCATGGCTTCATCTTATAAAGAAATAAAATCTTTACAAAACCCAATCACTTGAAAAATTATGTCCCAATTATCTTGAGTGTGATAATAAAAATTTCAAAAACATAAAAGATTCAGTGTTCAATGCACTCATAAGTGTTTTTACAGAAACCATTTTTCCTAATCATTTTGTTTAGATACCTTTGGTTCCTTTGCTTAGATATAGGAAACTAAATTGAAATTTTCAGTTGAATGATAGCTATGTCCTAATAGTGAAGATGCGGGCCTGAAACGACTTCTATCATACAACTGTACAACACATCCATAACTCAAAATCTTACCTTTTTCCCCAAATTTGTCCATTTCTTGGATATTTTCTGTCTCAGTGGAGTTCTGGAATTTAAGATCTGCATAAGTAACTTCTTCAGACATTGATAAATACCTGAAGAAATCTTGACGAAGTGTAAAAAAACAAAGAGGCGAGAGTAACTTAACAGAGCTGAATGTTAAACGGGACCTACGATTTGAAACTTCTGGTTATAAATGGAAGCTTAAGCTTACAAGTTTAAACTGTCTCTAAATCTACTGTACCAATCACCGGTATGTCTGCAAATGAGTCACTTCTCATCTGTGGCTTCAGTTAAGAACATTGAACTGTTGCAACGGATAACATCTTTCTTCCTCATATTTCTTTCTTTTTTTTTTTTTCTCATTTCTATATATTTACCAACTACAGAGAGTGGTTTTTGAAATTTTGTTTGGATAATATTACTAGTGTCATGCAAGAGTACACAAATAACTAGCACCACATGGTGCAAACATAGTGCAGGATTTATTGGTGAAAAACTTCCAAGCAGAAAAATGACAAAAGATGCAGTTCTCAGACACTCACTAATCTTCGGCTATGGCCTGGCATAGATGTTCCTTATGTGTTATGATGAAGGTCCTGTTAGAAATGTTCTCTTCACTGGGACACTGAACATGCAGAGAGCACTCCCAAGAAGAATGAGAGAGTTAGTGCCACTCTTTTGCCATGTTACATATCTATAGGCTTCCCTAAGAGAGCTAGGGAATACCTAGTTTCTCTAACAATATATAGGTTGGCGCAAAAGTAATTGTGGTTTTTGCTATTAAAAGTTTACGAAATTACTTTAGCACCAACCTAGATAGTAAGGAATTTGAGGCCCAGAAACCCCCACCAGGGAGCATGTATACTGATGGCCAAGGTCTGTATACTGAGGGCTCGTAGGCCAGGAAAACTATAATCAGCCTATCTCTCTACAGACTGACTCAATCCATTTGATCTCCTCCTCACCTAAGCTACCAAAAGCGGGAAGGAAATGAGTCTCCAAAGTTTGGATTTGTGTCTTATTGACTCAATAGTCTTAATATTTTTTATTATTTCATTTCCTGATCAAGTATGCAAGTGGAAGTGAGGGGGTGGAGAGGACCGTTTTTGAGTATGTTTTCTGATTTTTGTTAGGAAATCTTACTTTAAAATTCTTCTTGGCATTTCTTCACGTAAATCATAGAAAATGGTTAGGTATTATTATTATTATATATATAAAAGAGAATGCATAGAGATTTTTGAAAATCAAAAACTAACTGCTTTACTATGTTGGGTAGACAGGAAAAATGATACTCCCTTTATAAGTGCTACTAAAAAGTAACTAGGAAAATATTACAGATACAAATTAACTAGATATTTTCACAACCAAAATGAACAAAAAGACTAAAACTATTGAAGAAAAGAAAAAAATAGAAAAACATTCCTTCAGATTAGAAGCCTCAATACTGTAAAAAAAGAAATTAAATTCACCTAAATATATCAAAAAAATTCTATTTCAATTTAATTAAAACAATGATAGGTTTTCTCCTGATAAATAAAAAGCTTTCAAAATACCTCTGAAAATATTACCATCAAAATATTGGCAGCAAAATTTAAAGGAAAATATATTCCAAACATGATTACTTCGTCCTATCTACTTTACCAATGTTGGTTTTATCTTTATAACTCTCTATACCAGGTACCATTATTATCACTCTTATTTTACAGATAGAGAAGTGAGTTGCAAAGTGGTTAAGGCTTTCTTTGTTTTGTGTGTGTGTGTGTGTGTGTGTGTGTTTTTTTTTTTGAGAGAGAGTCTCATTCTGTCACCCAGGCTAGAGTGCAGTGGCATCTTGGCTCACTGTAACTTCCGCCTCCAATAATTCAAGTGATTCTCCTGCCTCAGCCTCCTGAATAGCTGGGACCACAGGCACGGGCCACCACATCTGGCTAATTTTTGAATTTTTTAGTAGAAACGGGGTTTCATCATATTGGCCAGGCTGGTCTCGAACTCCTGACATCGTGATCCACCCCACTTGACCTCCCAAAGTTCTGGGATTACAGGTGTGAGCCACTGCACCCATCTGCGAAGTGGTGAAGTTTGTATCTAACATCACACAGTTGGTGAGTGGTAAAGTTGAGACTTGACCGAAGACTCTGGCTGCCTTGTTCAAATACATGCACAAGCTCTAATGCCTTTCCCGGTGGGAAAGAGTAGCCCTCTGTTTTTCCTAGGTGGATCAAATGTTTGTATATAAATACTTGTTTATAATATTCTCTGTTTATAAAAGGATGAAAACTGGCCACTCCACAGGTAGAGCCCTGTTCTGTGTTATGTTGCTCTGTTTTTTCACATGGAAGGTTGTTTCATCCATCATCACTAGAAGATAAAGCGTATGATGAATTGTAAGGGGCAACAACTGAAAAATCTAAAAGTCCTGTTTGCAAGGTATTCTTGTTTGGTAGAAATATTTGATAACTATTACTTCACACAAAATCCTTGGTTTAGAGCCAGCTAAGATATTTACATCCACAGGAATAAGCTGAGATCTGAGATGATTTGATGGTTTGCCCTTCACAGTCTGTATCAGTTTTTTAAAAACTTTGTTATTGATATATAATAGTTGTATAGATTTTAGAGGTATTTGCGATATTTTGAAACCTGAATACAGTGTGTAATGACCAAATCAGGGTAATAAGCATATTCATTCCTTCAAATACTTACCTTTTCCTTGTGTTGGGAATACTACAATTCTTATCTTTTAGCTATTTTGAAATATACAATAAATTATGGTTAACTATGGTTTTCCCACTGTACTGTCAAATACTAAAACTTGTTCCTTCTACCTATCTGTATTTTTGTACCCAACCAACTTGTCTTTATTCCCCACAATCCCTTTCCAAGACTCTGGTAACCACCATTCTACTCTCCATGAGATTCATTCTTTCAACTCTCACATATGAGTGAGAACATGTAATATTTGTCTTTCTGTGCCTGGCCTATTTCAGTTAACATGATGACCTTCAGTTCCACTCATGTTTCTGCAAATGACAAATTCCTTTTTCTGGCCGAGTAACATTCCATTGTGTATATGTACTACAGATACCTGCACTCCCATGTTTACTGTGGCACACAAGATATGAAATCAACCTATATTAATTTTCATTCCAGTTGAATAATAAGAGATGATCTGCAAATATCAACTACAAATATCTTCCAATATTAAACATAAGTGACAAACTATCCATTACCTAAATTAAGTATTTTCTGTGGGTTGTTATAATGAAAAAAAGGGAAGTAAGTAAAGATAGGTGAAGAAAAGTGCACAGGGGTAAAAAGTTAGAGACACACATCTTCAGAGTCACATAATTTAAAAGTTGAGAGACCACCGTGACCGTGATATACTTGTACAAAAAAGAAACACACACTTGGGATCCAAGAACAATAAAAAATTTTACACATTAAAAGGAAAATTTAAGAAGATAAAATAATGGGACAATTTACAAGATGCAGCTAAGACCAAAGGAAGCGAATGGGATAGTGAAATACCCCAGGGGCAGCTGCTGTGGGCAGCCTGAGAGAACGATATGGGTAGCAATTAGCTGGAGCAGCAGAAACTACAGCTGAGGAAGGCTGCCTCCCTGGAGGTGCCCTCAGTGAGAAAAACTCCGTACCCATTTCCTAGCGCTGTAGGGAAGGATTCTCCCACCTTTTAATCTTTGCTTATTCTTCCTATTAGCACAAAAGTGCCTAGAGCTTCAGGACATTAGTGTCCAGGGAGATTGTACATACATAAGAGTCAGCATCCCGGGGCGCTGAAAAGGGATTACAATGGTGAAGAGGAGGTCTGTAAGAACAAACAGAATATCCCGCACAGCTGATCTCTTTCACCCTCAGCATCCACTCTTACTGTTCCGGATGAAAAGAGGACACCCAAAATTCTGTAACAGGAAACTTTCCTTGACCATTTCACAGTCCTTGCGACAGGGGTGCCTTGCTTACTTAGCCTGCAGCTCTCAACCCCTCACAGGAGGGGGAATACACAGATGAGTGGGTGCAGAAGCCAGAGTGAGTGCTTTTGGGCACCCACAGGAGCAAAATTCTGTGTGGCCCCACAGAAGCATCTAGGCGGTACTAGCGACCCCTGAAGACCCAGAGGACATTTGTTACAGTGCACTCTTTTAACTTTGCTGCTGCAGATGTCTTAAGTGTTAACAGCTCAGCGGAGGGGCAATGTGGCAGCCTTTTGCACCTGCACCCGAGTCTTGTCTGGCATCCAGGAGGAACGAGGTTGCACGAACAGGTTGAGGGGTGGTGAATGTGGAGGATTTTATTGCTGATGAAAGTGGCTCTCAGTCGGAAGAGGTGCCAGAAAGGAGATGGAGTGGGAAGGTGATATTCCCATGGAGTCCAGCCATCCCTGCCAGGACTCTTCTCTGAAGTCTTGCTATCAAGCCATCCCTCTGAAGTCAAGTGGCTTCTCTTTGATGTCTGGCTGCTGCTTCTTTTCCCTCCTTCTCTGCTCTTTGACAGTGGAGCCTGCAGTTTTTCTGGGTACAGGATGGAGGTAGGGTAGGCCAGGGGTGGTTTTGCAAAAGGTAACATTTAAGTGAAAAATAGGGATGTAAAATTCTCACTTTAAACCACAGATCCAGGGCGAGGCTCTTGCCAGGGGCCCGGCCCTTTTCTTCCTAGAATGTCTCTGCCTCCTGTCCCTATCACTATCAGCTGCCATATCATTATGGGTTAATATCAACTCAGTAATACTTTAAAATAGATCTATAATGTTTACTACCACCTCTGCAATTTACACTGTAGCAGGAACGGCCACAGGAAACAGATTTCCCCAAGACCAAGCGTGTTATTTTCAGGAAGGAGATTCAGGAGGCTCCAGCTAGCCTGCTCTCTCTTCTATTGAGATGCACAGTGGATGACAGAGGGGGAGGGAATCCCAGATGCCTGGGTCTCCTTCCTCAATAGAACAGAGCAGAATAGTGTAGGGGAAAGGGGAAAATTCAATGTTTGAAAAAATTACTATTATTGTCTTTCCACATATAACTAAAATAGAATTATAGTTTCTTTTCCAAGCACTTATTTTACATTCCCTTTATCCTCTTCTGCACTGTTTTTACCATAATTTGACCCTCATATTCATTCTCACTGAATCTGAGTTTTCAGTGGTCCGTTTACATAGGACTCTCATAACTTTTTATTGCCTATTCTCTTGATAAAGACAGGACAAAGTGCTATTTGTTTATTCCTTGGGTCCTAGATAGAATCCTGCTTGT